TCCCCAGCTGGTACTTGCTGCCTCTCTTAAAAAAAGAAAAAAATGTTTAAAAGGATATACAATCTTCAATCCAAGTGACTTCTTCAAAAGGAAGCTTCAAGGTAAAAATTTGAAATGAAAAATAGAAGTGGTTTCTTTTGTTTTGGTGACAAATAAGTACTTAATAATTTACATGTTTGGTAGGTCTCAGTTTTCATGTATCAATGTGGCCTATCCTGAAATATCTATGTGGCTGATTTTCTTATATGTTACACTATAGTACTAACACTAGGAGTTACACTTTTTGGGAAAGTACTGAAAACCAAAAAGGCTATCATTTCATACAAACTGGGTTTTTTTCAAAATACTTTAAAAATTTATAATATTCTCTTCCTAACACTCAAGTTTCTCCTCTACTTTTCCATGTGAACCAGATTTGCTAAAGCAAAATCTGACCATGACCTCTGACTATAACACAATAATTATAAGATGCTATTTTATTTAAGGCACTACACAAGTATTTTTACATACATTTTAAACTTTTTAATCTCCTAAACTGGTTAATGCACATCAATTCTTGGTCCCTGAAGGAAAGTTTACCTGAGAAAGAGTTACTTAACATTTACAACTGCAGATGCTATATTTCGAAAACTTCAAAATAAATTGCATCTTTAAAAAAAAAAAGTGACAAATCTCTTCTTCAGCTCCTTGACATTTTATTTTCTACTATTTTCAATAAGATTACTAATATGTCCCACTCCTGGGTCATTTATTTTTTCCCTAAGCTTACTCTTTGTCAGGTATCAATCATTTTCAGTACTTCCGAGCTCCTCCAAAATTATTATTATCAGTTCTCTTATCTTCTAACTCATCATTGATCATTACCTGGACCAATGATTCCCACAGAAGCAGAAGAGGCCATTAGAGACATTTTGAAAATTTGCAAAGACCTTTTGGTTGCAACAATAATTTGGGTGGGAGGGAGGGTATTTGGTGGATGAGCTGCTATTCATTCTAGAAGTCCTAAAATGTATGACACAACCTTGTACAACAAAGAGCTTCCTGCATCCCTCAGGATTTTAAAAAAGAATCTACTGGACATTAAAGTAGGTATATTTATGTTCACCGTAGTCTAGAACTTTATGATATAGTATACATAAAATATATCATTTTCTCACTGTTTTAAAGAAGACTGAATTTTTAAAAAATGCAACTCTTATGTAAATTGAGGGAAGATCGCACTTTGTTTTGGTCAAAATTTTACCAAAAATTGTTAACAATTTGGGAAAAATCAGTTGGTCACTGACAATGGCCCTTACACTGTCTGAAGTGTCAGTATAATATATTTGAAATCTGTCTACATTTATAGCTGCCACACTCACAGAGATTCTTACTGCAGTTGCTGGCATACTGCACCAATGCAAAGAATATGACAGCGACGGATTACTTCATTATGTCTCCTAATGTATTCATGCCTGAGCATTTAACTACTTGAATAGTAAACATGTTATTTTCTTTTTTTTTTTTTTTTAATTTTTATTTATTTATGATAGTCACACAGAGAGAGAGAGAGGCACAGAGACATAGGCAGAGGGAGAAGCAGGCTCCATGCACCGGGAGCCCGATGTGGGATTCGATCCTGGGTCTCCAGGATCGCGCCCTGGGCCAAAGGCAGGCGCCAAACCGCTGCGCCACCCAGGGATCCCAACATGTTATTTTCTAATAAATACTTCACCTTTATCTTTCAATTAAAACATTATATTGATTTTTAAGTTTTTTTTTGCCAATAGATTTCATTGCCTATGAATATCATTGAAGGTATTACAGGAGACCTTACAGAATATTTGTTACAAAAAGGCACTAGATTGGACAGGAATCACTTTAGTATCACTGCCCTACACTTTAGTCCCCATGTGACTGGACTACTAAAGATGTCTCCTAACTGATATCTTAAATTCTACAGTACATATCCTCTTCCAAATGAATTCCTACAGATGTAAAAGATCACCAATATTACTTCTATCTTCAAAATACCACAGAGCTCCCAACTGACCTGGAAATCAGTCCAGTACAGAGATTTTTATGACTCTCCATAAAGAGATTCCTTCTACCTAATAATTTATCCAGTCTACATCACAGACTGAACACTCCACTCGGAAAGCCTTATTTCTAAGAAGTCCACAAGCCATAGTTGAAAGGGTATAGGGTATAAGACTTGGAATTCTAGGTCTGTCACTTATTATTATTATCCAGGAGAATGATCCCGGGTTAAATTACTTACCACTTTCTGAGTCTCCTCATTTCTTAAGTGAGAATTAAAAGGGACTTTCCTCACAGGGTTATGGTAAGGAATGGAAGAGAAAAGTAGAAGCTCAGAGCTTGCTACTTCAAACTTTTTTCTGTTCTGTGTGCTTATCTATTTCAAGGTCTCAGAATAATACCTGGCACCTAGTAGTACTCAAGGGATGTCTGTTGAGAGACGCCTGGGTGGCTGAGCGGTTCAGCATCTGCCTTTGGCTCAGGGCGTGACCCCAGGGTCCTGGGATGGAGTCTTGTCGGGCTCCCTGCAAGGAGCCTGATTCTCCCTCTGCCTGTGTCTCTGCCTCTCTCTCCCTGCGTCTCTCATGAATAAATAAATAAATCTAAAAAATAATAATAATAATTTAAGTTTCAAAAATTAAAAAATAAAATTAAATTAAAAAAAGGAAATGTTGAATGAAAGCACATTGTTTTCTAAAACCTTCCCAGGCAAGCCCATCTGACTGCTCCAGAAATTTATCTGTTAATCAAGTAATGATGATTGAGTGCTCATAAACAGAGTGCTTACTAGAAGTAAATCCCCAGTACCCACTCTTAGGAAACTTTAAAAAATGCTGGAAGGTGACAGGTCAACATAAAAGATGTCAAACAGAGCGTATGACTAGTCAACAATTGGCATGGACAATAGGCCCTGCGCATCTAAAGGCAAGGTACTTATGGATCACTGTGGTTTGGCCCTTCATGGAGTGCCATGTAAAAAAGCTATGTTTCTAGACTTCCTCCAACTAATCCATTCTTCTTACACAAAGCCTAAGAGAGCTTCATAAGGGCCCAATTTGTCACTTGTCTACTTAAAACTCATCCGAAAATGGTACCACTGCCCTCAGGATAACCCAACTCCTTCACACGATTTACCAGATGCTTCGTATGTTCCAGTCCTTCCAGTCCCGGGTAAATCTTTGGGAACTGCAATGATTAATAACGTAGCCACCAGCTACACGTAGCTAGGCACCTGAAATGTGGCTAGTCCCAAGCCAGGTGTGCTGGATTTTTTTTTTATTCTATTTTTTTTAAGATTGTATTTGTTTATTCATGAGAGACACAGAGAGAGAGAGAGAGAGAGAGACAGAGAGAGAGAGAGAGAGAGAGAGAGAGGCAGAGAAACAGGCAGAGGGAGAAGCAGGCTCCATGCAGGGAGCCGGACATGGGACTCATCCAGGGTCTCCAGGATCACGCCCTGGGCTGCAGGCAGGAGCTGAACCACTGAGCCCCCCAGGCTGCCCAGCACAATGCTTTTTTTTTTTTTTTTAAGATTTTAAATACTTATTCATGAGAGACAGAGAGAGAGGGCAGAGACACAGGCAGAGGGAGAAGCAGGCTCCATGCAGGGAGCCCGATGTGGGACTCGATCCGGGGACTCCAGGATCACGCCTTGGGCCGGAGGCAGATGCTCAACCTCTGAGCCACCCAGGCTGCCCCGCCAGACACCTTAAGTGTAAAACACGCACTAGATTTCAAAGACTTAGTACAAAAAAAAAAGAAGAAAGAGAGAGAGAGAGAGAGAGAAAGGATGTAAAACATCTCAGTAATTCTATACTAATCACATGTCAAAATATTACTGTGGATACACTGGGTTAAATACAGGTACGCTATTGGGCAGCCCGGGGGCTCAGCGGTTGAGCACCTGCCTCCGGCCCAGGTCGTGACCCCGGAGACCGCAGGATCGAGTCCCGCGTCGGGCTCCCTGCATGGAGCCTGCTTCTCCCTCTGCCTGTGTCTCTGCCTCTCTCTCTGTCTCATGAATATATAAATCTTTTTTTTAATTTTTTTTTGATTTTTATTTATTTATGATAGTCACACGCACAGAGAGAGAGAGAGAGAGAGAGAGAGAGAGGCAGAGACACAGGCAGAGGGAGAAGCAGGCTCCACGCACCGGGAGCCCGACGTGGGACTCGATCCCGGGTCTCCAGGATCGCGCCCTGGGCCAAAGGCAGGCGCCAAACCGCTGCGCCACCCAGGGATCCCTGAATATATAAATCTTCAAAAAAATAAAAATAAAAAACAAAGGTACGTTATTAACATTAAATTCACCTGTTTTGAGCGCCGCTACAGAGAACTTACAGATAGATGCGTAGGAGGAGGTTCGCATTACGTCCCTGCTGGACACTGACTTGCCCCAAACGCTCTGCGTTTCTGCATTTCGGGCGGAACAAACCACCTGCAGTTCCCGGGCCCGCGAAGACGAAGGCTGGCGCCTGAAACTTTGTATCCTCTGCCTTGCCCTGAGTCACCCGCCGCTCATTCTTCAGAATCTAGTTTAGTGTTGTTTTTTTTTTAATTTATTCATCAGACAGACAGAGACAGAGAGAGAGAGAGAGAGGCAGAGACCCAGGCAGAGGGAGAAGCAGGCTCCACGCAGGGAGCCCGACGCGGGACTCGAACCCAGAACCCCGGGGTCACGCCCCGGGCCGGAGGCGGGTGCCGGGCCGCTGAGCCCCCCGGGCGCCCCACAGAGCGGCGCCAGGAGAACCCACCCTGCTTGCGCCTCTGCAAGCGCCCGTCTCCCCGCCCGAAGGACTCGGTGCACGGAGCGCGGCTCCGCGGGACCAACGGGAGGGGCGGGGCAGAGCTGAGGCTCCCGCGACCGCCACGGCCCGAGGGGTGAGAGGGAACGAGGACGGGGCGGGGCGGGGCGGGGGGGGAGTCCTGCGGGAGCCGGCGGGCAGGCCCGGAGAGGGGCGGGAGCAGCCGGCGGGACTCACCAGCCCCTTGTCCAGGTCGGCGTCCGGCCGTCGGGTCGCCGGCGGCGAGTACTCGGCGTAGCGCAGACCCTCGCCGGCAGGGGCGACACCACCGCGGGCAGCCATGGCGACGGGACGCCGCGCGGCGGAAGGGGCGGGGCGGGGCGGGGGGGGCAGGGGGCGGGGCCCGACGCGCCGCGACGTCGCCTACGAGCCCGCCGCAGGGACAAACTTGGCAGGGCGGCGCTGGATCCGCGGACGCCGGCCCAGCGGAGCGCGGGAGGGCGCGGGCCCCCAGCGGACCTCGCCCTCGCCCTCGCCCTCGCCCGGGTCCCGGTCCGCGTTGGCCCCGCGCAGCCGAGCGCCGGACTCCGAGCTGAGGCCCCCGCGACGCGGAGGGCATTTGGTTTGTTGGAGATTGGCAGGCCCAGAGCCATCGCGCGGAGGAGCCTGGCTCCCGCTCAGCCCTCTTCGCAGCCGAGGGCCGGGATGCAAGCCCGAGGTCGGGTGTGGGTCTCCTCGGATGGCTTTGCAGGGAGGCTGCAGGGCCCGAAGGCCTGTGAGCCACAGCACGCCTCGGAGCGTGCTTCCCGTGAAGGCTGCACTCTCCCACCCCGGAGGTAATAGAGGTGGCCACCCGCTCATCCCTGCAGGGAGCCCGACGCAGGACTCGAACCCAGGACCCCGGGGTCTCGACCTGAGCTGAAGGCGGCGCTAAACCTGAGCCCCTGGGCTCCCCAAGTAAAGCCTTTTGGAGCAAAGCTTAACCCACACGTTTTCCAAGCCCTGGAGCAACTTGGCAGCCCTTTTGCCCCCGTTTTTTTTTTTTTTGGTTTTTTTTTTAAGATTTTATTTACTTATTCATGAGAGATACAGAGAGAGAGTGAGAGGCAGAGACACAGGCAGAGGGAGGAGCAGGCTCCATGCAGGGAGCTCAACGCGGGACTCGATCCCGGGTCCCCAGGATCACGCCCTGGGCTGAAGCTGGTGCTAAACCGCTGCCACCCGGGCTGCCCTCTTTTGCCCTTTATATCCGTTGTTAAGAGACGCGAGCTGTACCGTATGTCCTGTCATTTTCTAGGCTTGTGTCGCTGAGATACTCACTTAATTCTCCAAAGCTCTCCTTAATTGTGGAAGGGGAATACCATTTGTCCAACATTTTGACTCAGGGAGGTTGCACGGATAAAATGAAGACAACTGGGGGGGGGGGGAAGGATATGGAAGCAGTTTGGCATTCGTTCATTCATCCATTTATTTGTTCAGTAGGTATTTATGGAGCACCTGTTGGGTCCTATGCACTATGCTGGGCATTGGGCCTACAGTGTCACGTAGACAAAATTACTGATTCCTGGGCAGCCCAGGTGGCTCAGCGGTTTAGCACCTGCCTTCCACCCAGGGTGTGACCCTGGAGACCTGGGATGCAGTCCAGCATCAGGCTCCCTGCATGGGGCCTGCTTCTCCCTCTGCTTCTGTCTCTGCCTCTCTCTCTCTCTCTCTCTCTCTCTCTCTCTGTTTCTCATGAATAAATAAATAAAATCTTTTAAAAAATTACTGATTCCTTGCATTTCACATAGTATGGGAGGGTTCTGGTGTCCCCTAGCAGCTGGCTCCTCATGGTCACAGGCGACCAGCCTAAAGCAAACAAGCAATTAGAGCAAGACCCAAGTCAGCCCCAGCTCCTCTTAGGGAAGTTGCTGCCCCTGCCCCAGAACTGGAGGGAAGTTTCCAGAGCAGAAGTCGGGGAAAAGGGAGAAAAGGGAATAATGGGGCAGGGGGGAGAATGGTGACTCTGTGGGGAGGTGGGCTCAGCAGGACGGTGCCTCAAGTCAAACCCCAACCTAGTGAAAGCAGGTTGCTGACTGCTTGCAAACTTTGCCTCAGTTGCACTGCGGCTCCAGCATCTGCTCCTACAGCAGTAGCCAGTTTTAAAGAAAAAACCTTCCACGAAGACTATCAGTTCTCAGCTTTTGGTTCTTGGCTAAGGTCACCCTCACCCCCTAAGGAAGGATGGAATCGAGAGCAATGAAGTCCTCTCTCTTGTCACACAGATCTCATCCTCATTTAGCTAAACTCATTTCTCTGGTTTCCCTGAGAGTGAAGAAGAACGCTTTTGTGAAACCCAAAAGGGAAGCCACATTAGATTTCCACCAGCCTATTTTGATTAGCTACACCATTTTAGAGACAAGTTACCTGGTGTTCCATAGGCTTTGTAAAAGAAAGGCAGAGAGTGGTAACGTGTTTCAGTAAAAGATGTTTTAAACATTTGTTGTTTAAAAAGATTTTTGCAAAAAAAATAAAAATAAAAAAATAAAAAGACTTTTGCCCCCCCACCACCCCAAAAAAATGACATTTGTGTGCCTCAGTCTCCTCATCAGGAAAATGGAGGATGATAATGGAACTTCTCTGTATTAAATGAGTCGACTTAAAAAAATAAAATAAAAGGGTCGACTTTTGTAAAGCTCTTGAAACAGCACTGGATACCTTATAAGTTCTCTGAAAGTGTTAGTTACTATTTTCTGTATATGACTCCTTTCACCTCTTTCCTGTATGTTTTCTTATTGCTGCCCCCTGACAATGGTTGTGTTTGATCCCCAAGGGGTTGTCTTGTCTTTGAAATGATAAAATGTGACTAGACGTTATATAATGATAAAGTGTAATTGTGGGGAGAGAACAAGTTGTTTTTATGAAAACTAAATTAAATGTTTTGGAAAGGCTTAATAAAAGCAAGTATACACACACACACACACACACATATAGTTTAAAAAGCTGTTGAATGGTGATCATAGGAATAAAATCATAATAATTGAGTGTGATTCTACATCGTTTGTTTTTAAAAATGTTCTATTCTCCTCTATTTTAAACAAATCAAAATTAGGAATCATATAGGATAGATTATCAATGTGGAAGAAATCTGAGGCCGAGGACCCACATCCAAATAAAAGACCCTGGGAGGCCTGGATGATTCAGCGGTTGAGCATCTGCCTTTGGCTCAAGGTGTGATCCTGGAGTCCCAGGTCCAGTCCCACATTGGGCTCCCCGCAGGGAGCCTGCTTCTCTCTCTGCCTGTGTCTCTGCCTCTCTCTGTGTGTCTCTCATGAATAAATAAATAAAATCTTAAAAAAAAAAAAGGCCTTGACCCTACAAATATAGTGTACATAAATAGATATAGTGTGTGTATATTGTGGTATTAAAATATCATAGGGAATAGGAGGAAGGGTGTTACCAGGAACAAAAAGTTTAAATAACTCCATAGTAATGAGGGCTTGGCTGGCGCAGTTGGTAGAGCATTTGACTCTTGATTTCAGGGTTGTGCATTCAAGCCTCACAGTGGGTATGGAACTTGCTTAAAAAAAAAAATTTAAAAACACACACACACGAAAAAAAAAAAACAAAACCTTCCTTACTAAGAAACAGTGATTTGGTTTTTTTGTTTTGTTTTGTTTTGTTTATTTATTTTATTTTATTTATTTTATTTTATTTTTAGAAACAGTGATTTGTAAGTGATGTTTTAAAAAAAATAATATTTAGGGGCACCTGGGTGGCTCAGTTGGTTGATAGTCTGGCTCTTGGTTTTGAGTAAAGGACAGGCGGTAGGGAGAGATAGATAGGGGGCATTGTGATGAGGCTCATGGAAATCCCCAAAATGCTGACAGGTAAGGAAACCAGAGATAAGGGAACCAACCAGACCACCCTGCCCTAGTGGTGGGTGGGGAGGCTGTCTTTTTTATACAGTCACCTGTGATCAACAAAGAATAACCAGACCCTAAAAAGAAGTAAGCCAAAGGCTCCCTGGTCAGTTCTAAAGAAAAGACTTGTCAATGGAGGCCCACGCTGGCAACCCTGTCCGGACCCCTCTCACTCCTGAGAGCTTTTTCTGTATCCTTGCTTAATAAACTTCTACCACTTTACTCAGTCTCCTTTGTCTGCGACATTCATTCTTTGACTCAATGAGACAAGAACCTCACTCTCCCACTTCACTTAAAGGCCGAAACCCGGGACTACTCCCACTGAAGGGTGAGTAAAAGCAGGCTCTTCTTTCCTGGGAGATGACTCTCCCTTGGATAACCTCTTCTTTTAACAGCAAAACCAGGCACCTGTTGGCCAGTTAAAGGCAAATAGCACCGCCTCCTGTTTTAAGACTGAGTTGACAGGCTTCTAGAGAAAGCTTTGATCAATCCCCCTTCCTGAAAAGAAAGGAATGTTGGCCTAAGCCTACCCAATTCTGCTTTGTTCATTGGTTTTTTCTTAAATGGCTTTCTCCTACTTTTGCTGGTAGTAGGGTCCTTCCAGTCTCCAATGATCAATATGCCCTTTTAATCAGGGATTTATTCGAGAAAGAGTATTGCCTATGTAGATATAAGACATTTCCATTAAAAGTGTCTTTCATGAGGGATGCCTGGGTGGCTCAGTGGTTGAGTGCCTGCCTGGATGCCCTAGGCCGTGCACAGGAAATGCCAGCTTGGTTGTATATGAGATTCCTTTAGTAAACTAATTATCGAGATGCCTGGGTGGCTCAGTGGTTGAGAGTCTACCTTTGGCTCAGGGTGTGATCCCGGAGTCCCGTCGAGTCCCAGTTCCACACTGGGCTCCCCATGGGGAGCCTGCTTCTTCCTCTGCCTGTGTCTTTCATGAATAAATAAATAAAATCTTAAAAAAAAAAAAGTGCCTTTCATGAGAACTTAGTTTAGGAAGAACAACATTTTCCTCATTTTTGCTGCCTGGTTTAAGACATATTTCTCTGTTAGGTGTAATTTAGTTTTAATCACGGCCAGGAATTAAACCCAAGTTGTCGGCGAGCAGGATTACAGCGATCTCTTTCTGTGATACTTTGGAAACAGCCTGATGTTTCCTGGGCATTTACTCCCCTTAGGATACTTTGGGCATTAAGGAGTGTAATTACCTCCTTACACACCCCCAGTCAATTCCTTAATTGGTGGCATTAGTGGCTGGGACTTTAATGGGTCATATGGTTGAGGCTTTCTTGTTCCAATAACAAAAATATGAAATTATGATGATGCTAAAACTTGGGGTCTGCACCCCTCAACAGGGCCATGCTTGCAAGAGGGACCATAGGTATATGGACAAAAAAAGCACCCAGGGATAAAGCAAGGAAACACAATTAAAATTGGTTTATAATTGGCCTGAC